TAAGAGCTTTGCTTGCCTACTCTTATCGGGTTTACTTTATTTGGTATGGTAAAGTTGACAGGGTTTTCTAGTTAAAAGGACTTTACACATTTCAGAACTTTTCGATCATGTCCTCGAAGCGATACTCCTTGAATTATTTGGTGGTTAACGATAGACTACTTCAAAACCAGACCTCGTTGTTAACCGTAGAGAGGCAGCACTAGTCTTTACCAATCGATTTCATTCAGAGCTATTTAGTTATGTCTTTCACCACATGTTGTTGTTGCTTGCTGTCCTCCTCTTTAACATTCTTGAAAACCTACAAGCTGTTTTAAATTGTTGATCTCCACCCATCACCCTTATTGCATCTTCCTGTTAAGGTCACTGGATTTAGAGACATTCTGATAACATCCAGGTGAATGAAAGGTGAACTGTCGTGCTCCTTGCCGAAGACGAGACCAGTGATTTTGCTAAAACAGATCAACAAGATTATTTTTTAATTTCAAACTGAAAGAGTATCAAAAGCGATCTGAAAATTTTTACATTGTGAGTTTCGAGGCCAAAAGGTCATGTGATATGATATAAAAATAAAGTACACAATTTAAGAACGTTATTTCTTATAATTTTACATATGCGGATACAGTTGGCTAGAAATAGAATGGTTCGCGGTATGGCTGAAGGTTCAGAGCAAACTAGAAACCGTTCGTCGTCATCACAATACAGTTAAACAAGAAATTCACTAGTTTGACAATGCCGTCGCATTCACTAACAGAGAGCTAGTCACTGATATGTAATCTGATGGGCTGAAACACGCAATTGATGCACCTGACTACTGATCAGTTAAAGAGATTCATCGGTGACTTCAAGACTGAGCAATGGCACCAAACAGCGGTCTGTGTTAAAACGGCTGCGCCAAAACGTCTCATTCCGATACGTAGAGAGGTATAATGGAGAACGGAGGCAGCGAAACAGATAGGTACATATCTGCTTTAATTTTCAATAACGAATGACTTCTCCAAAACCAGATTTCAGGCATGTTGTGCCCCCTCCTCCGCTCGTAGCCCTCTACGTGGTGTTTAAGCAGGCAGTGACTCCATTGTATTTGAGCACCTGCATTGCATAGTGCATCTTGCATCATTTTGCCAGCTAGAGCCACCTCGTGCTCATCACAAACGATGTTTCAGAAACTCGTGCTTGAATATCCCTAGGCAATTTGGAGCAACGGGAGTGCAAACGAACTCTGGCTGCTTCTCAATCAATGTTTATGGATGCTTAATTATAAAATCAGCGAAGGAAGCTAGTAATGTTTCGTAATGGAGAGATAAAAGCAAGAGCTTCACTATGAAGTTCTTAAACCATGTTCTTCCCTTTAAGCGCGTTTTACAATCAGTTTTAGACTGAGAGTATAGCTTTCGCTATGATGTGAGGATTGAAATAAAAATCTGATTAATTTTCATCTTTTTTGTTTAAAATTATTTGTCCGCTGTGCTGGATGTGTTTAAATTTCGAACTGTTTTTGATAACAGTTTCCCTATGCATGCGAACGGTCTGTTTAACTGAATGATTATGTTTAAACTTTAGTAGTTCGTATGCTTCTCATAGCATCAGTATATCATTGGAAATATGCGTTTTCCGTTGAAAACAATTGTGCTTCGAGTAATGAGCACATCACAGCAGCTTCATATTATGTTCATTATAATTAGCTTCATGATCATCACATCACAGTAGTAATCAGTAGATAGCATTTTGGAATGTTATAATGAACCGGTCAGCCAGTTTCGATTTCCACTTATTCTTTCGGACTGCGGCTGCATAAACGTCAGACGATGTCTTCAACGTTCCCGGTCCTGTGCCAGCGTTTCAACTTCGGTAGAAGACAATCTCAGCCTGGAAAAAAAGTCGTTCAGAATACTTGCCCAGGTCATTCTTCGTCATCCCCGGGGCATTCGATCTGTCGATTCGGCAAGTGGTATCTGTTTCACCTACCTACCTATATGAGGCATTCACAAGACGTGCCAAAATCCTCGTAGCAGTGACTTCTCAGATTACAGCAGCAGCCTCTGTAGACAAGAATAACATTTTGAGCTATGATTTGTATTTGATGAATGCCCTAAATCCTGCGGAGAACTGGGCGCACTGACTAGATTTCCATCTTTGTAAATTAGATTCTTGTTTCGTAGAACTGTTAATTTGAGATTTCCTGCACCAAGTAGAATTTTTTCTGAGCGTTGTCCCTCTGGGTTTATGATTAACGCGACCAAGTTCATAATTCTTTGAAGCGCTAAATGACAGTTATGGTAGTACGAGGGGGTTTATACATGCTCATATATTCAGCATCTCACATTCTTCTGTTTTTTGGAGTTCTAGGCAAAAAAAAACCTAGTGATTTTGGAGACGCAGGCTCTGCTCTACTAGTCTCTTAAGTAAAAACGTGGGTGTGAGTGATAATGAAGCCATAAAGTTGCGAAGCTGTTACTCGCCTTCTCCTACAGGGGGTGACAGAAAAGTTTGCGTCAGATTTATGACAACTATATAGGTTACGTGAACTGTGACTAAGCCTCCTACGCATTTAACACGAAGAAGCGTTAAAACCTTTAGGGCGTTTGTTTTCTTCTGCGCGGTACTACCTCATCATTAAAAGTGATTCCCTTCTCTCCTGTTTTTTTT